AAAAAAACTTAAATGCTACCAAGGAATTTGCAGCAATATATCACAAAGATCATACTCTATGACAGATAGGATTCATACAAAGAATACAAATCTGGTTCAATATTAGGAAAATTATTATCATAACTGAACATATCAACAACAAAACAACAAAAATCATATGATTATATCAATAGATGCAAAAAAAAACTTTTGAAAAAATACAATATCCATTCCTATTAAAAACACTAGAAAGTTGAGGAATGAATCTTTCACTAAAATGATAAGTAACATCTATTTAAAATCAAGAGTAAGCATTATCTCTAATAAGGATAAACTAGAAATCTTCCTAATAAGATCAGGGTGAAGTAAGGATGTCCATTAACACCACTATTATTCAATATGGTACTGAAAATGATAGTTATAGCAATAAGACAAAAAATAAATAAATTAAAGGAATAAGAACAGGCAACGAGGACACAAAACTATCACTTTTTGCAGATGATGTGATGGTGTACTTAAAGAATCCTAGAGAATTAACCAAAAAAAATTAGTTGAAACAATTAATTTTAACAAAGCTGGAAGATATAAAATCCACATAAGTTATTAATTTTCTTTATATTACCAGCAAAATCCAGCAGGAAAAGAAACAGATATTCCAGTTAAAATAACTGCGGACAATATAAAATACTTGGGAAGCTATCTGCCAAGACAAACCCAGGAACTATATGAACACAATTATGAAATATTTTTCATTCAAATAAAGACAAATATAAACAATTGGAGAAATACTAATTCCTCAAGCTATGGTAGGCTAAGCCAAATATGATAAAAATAGCAACAATACAACCTAAATTAATTTATTCAGTGCCATACCAATCTAACTATCAAGGAATTATTTTAGAGAGCTAGAAAAAAATAGCAAACTTCATCTGGAAGAACAAAAGGCCAAAATCTTAAGGCAATCAATGAAAAAATGTGAAGGAAAGTAGCCTAGCAGTACCAGATTTCAAACTATATTACAAAGTGGTAATCATTACAACAATACGATGGTGAATTAGTGGACTAGATTAGGTATACAATTCACAGTAGTAAAGAGCCATAGTAATCTTGTGTTTAATAAACCCAAAAGATGTAAACTTTGGGAGCAAGAATTCACTGGAAAAATTGGAAAGCAGTTGGGCAGAAACTAGGCATGGACCAACATCTCTGTATAAACAGTTAAGGTCAAAATGGGCACATGATTTAGACATAAATGGTGATATCATAAGCTAATTAGGGGAGCATGGAAAAATATACTTGTCAGATCTACGGATAAGGGAAAAATTTACGACCAAACAGGAGACAAAAGAGGCTCACAGGAAGTGAAATGGACAATTTTGGTTATGTGAAATTAAAAAGTTTTGCAGAAACAAAAACAATGCAGTTTAAATTAAAAGGAAAGCAGGAAACTGGGGGTAAATTTTTATAGCAAGTTTCTCTGATAAAGGCCTCATTTTCTCAACTATACATATAGAATTGAGCCAGCTTTACAAAAATAAGAGCCATTCCCCAGTTGATAAAAGGTGAAAGGATACGAAAAGGTAATTTTCAGGGAAAGAAATCAAAGCTAATGATAGCCACATTAAAAAAATGCTCTAAATCTAATCTAAATGATTAGAGAAATGGCACTAAAACAACTTTGAAATACTGTCTCATGCCTATAAGATTGTTTAACATAACAGAAACAGAAAAGGACAGATGCTGGAGTTGACAGAGAAAAATAGGAACACTAATGCACTGCTGGTGGAGTTGTGAACTGGTCAAACCATTCTGGAGAACAATTTGGAACTATACCCAAAGGGTTATAAAACTGTGCATACCCTTTGACCCAGTGATACCCCTACTAGGTCAATATCCCCAAGAGACCAAAGAAAAAGGAAAAGGATTTATAAGTACAAAAATATTTATAATAGCTTTTTGTGGTGGTATAGAATTGGAAATTGAGGGACTGCCTATCATTTGGAGGATGGCTAAATAAATTGTGCTATATAATTTTGATGGGATACTAATGTAAAGAAATGATTAGCAGAATAATTTCAGAAAAACCTGGGGAAGACTGATGCAAAGTGAAGTCAGAACTAGGAGAATATGGTACACAGTAACAGCAATACTGTAATGAAAATGAAACATTTTTTTTACTTTATTTTTCTTGAGTTTTTTTTGCAATGTGGCCAATATAGAAATATGTTTTTATAACTTCACATTTATAATTTATATAATATTTCTAACTTTCTCAGTGGGTGAACAAGGGGCTACAAGGAGGAAAAGTATTTGGATATCAAAATGATAAAAAAATTAATAAATAATTTACAAAAAGATACTAGGGGACAGCTCTGTGGTACAGTGGAAACACCAGCCCTGGCAACAGCAGGATCTGAATTCAAATTTGGCCTCAGACACTTACCAGCTGTGTGATTCTGGGCAAATCACTTAATCCCTATTGCCTGAAAGAAAGATATTAGCATTATGGAGATAATATAGTTAACTCTTCTCTGCCTATTTAAATTTAGACATGCATTCTTCAGTTAACCCTATATAACTGCTCAAATTTATTTTCTTTTTGACATTTCTTTTGTCTGCTGTGTTTGGACCTCAAAAGTTCTCCTCCATTCTTTTTTTCTTAAAGGAATATTAAAAATCCTCTATTCTACTAAAAGTCCATTTTTCCCCAGAGGATTTTATTTAATTTTGCATTGTAATTATCCATTTTAAGTCCTTCTCTTGCCTTTTGCCATGTTGAATTCATAGTTGTAGAATAAGCTTGTATAACCTGATTATGTTGTCTTGGTACTTGAGCACTGTCTTCCAGGTTACGTGTGGTATTTTAAGGAGGAAGCTCTGTATTTTTGCCATGATGTTTCTGAGTGTATTAAGTATGGGTGATCAGGTCACCTTCTAAATTTTCACATTTGTTCAGAAGTCCCACCCAAATTTTCATTTCTGTAATTATTTCATATCCATTAGAATTATTCTTAAGATTGCAATTAAAAGTAAGATTATTATAACTCTCACTTTCGAGCAACTGCATATAATTTTCCTAGCCTCAAGAATAGGTCAGTACCATCAGATTGTCAGATTGGCAAAGATTAAAAAGCAGAATAATTGTTGTAGAGATTAAGAAAATATGGGTGTGTGAATATGTATACAGAAATACAGATGTGGCTATGAATTGGATGGACCAAGGGTGGGGAACCTATGGCCATGAGGCCACCTATGGCCCTCTAGGTCCTCAAGTGCAGCCCTCTGACTGAATCCAAACTTTAGAGAACAAATCCAAACTTCACAGAACCAATCCCTCAAGGATGTCAAAGTATGTGGAAAGATACACATACAAAAATAATTTATGGCTACTTATAGAAGAATTATTTCAGGGTATCAAATACCTGGAAGCTAACTGAGTGTCCATTAAGTGGGGAATTGTTGAACAAATCATACAATGTCAATGTAAGAGAATATTATTGCACCATAAGAAGTGATGAATATGTAGAATTTAGAGAAACTTGGGAAGATTTGTGTGAACTGATGCAAATCAAAGTAAACAAAGACAAAGAAAAAAAATTATATAATATAAACACTGTAATAATGCAGAGATTATAACATTGAGAAGCATTAGATTTCTCAAGAATACAGAAACTAATTTTTACTTCAGAGGACCAAGACTGAAGTATATTTCTTTTTGGTAAACTAAACTTACAGAAGGAGGCATTCCTTCTTAAGTTGTAAATGATGCTCAGTTAACGTGTTTTTGTTAACTATGCTTACTTTTACGAGAAAAGGTAGAAGGAAGGGAAGGGAAATGATACCAGTGCAAGAAAGATATCAATAAAATATGTATATTTAAATGGATGAGCATGCTTAGATGATAAAATTAGTAAGTATAAATGAAATTAGTGGTAGCAAATGAAATGATATATGTAAAATTATTTTCAAACTTTAAAGTGCTATATAAGTGATAAATACATGTGATAAATAAGTGACTTAATTATCATCATTATTTCATTCAATCAATGCAGATGGCTCTCTCCAATAGTTTATCACTGCCCAACCATACCAGCTCATATTATATGATTTTTGTCTGTGCCCTCCCACAAATCCTTAATAATTGTATCCCCAATATGCTCAGGGCCTTCATCTATGTGCTTTAACAATTCAAGTGTGGCTTTGCACCGTACAAACTATTCATCTCTCATCCTTCACTTTCAATACATAACTAACCTTCCTCTTTTTCCACCAACACTTCATAGGCCAATAGCTTTTACTCTTTTTTTCCTATGCAAATCACCATTGGTAAAATACTATAGTCTATTTGCTTATGCACACTATGTGCCTTTCCTTTGCCCTGGAAATCCCAGCAGTTCCAGAAATTATTTTAGACCTATTTACCAGAATAATTTAAATTTAATTTGAGGTCTTCAGAAGAAAGAAGCTGAAAAAAAGGAAGATTTTGCTTATATTTAGAGACAACATCTAAACTCACCTATGGAAAAAAATGCAGACTTATATTGAGATTTTCATGTTTATCCTGCTAGAGTTTATTTAATGATATATTGTACCTCTGAGCAATATCCACTTACGGGCAGCTGGTTCACAGGTATGGGAAAAGGCTGCTGATTATCAGCATGAGAAAGCTTTGATCAAGCCATGAGCATATGGAATAGGATGTACTCCACTTTCATCCTAATCCTACAAGTCAAGTACACTTTAATGGGCTGAGAGTCACTCTAAAGGTCCACTTCTTCCTGTCCAGTGGACAATCTATTAATATCTTATCTAAGAGATAAAGCTCTCCTTGCAACATAGCTTCACTTTTTGTATTAATCAACCAACATGCCAATTTAAAGGTCAGAGTAAACTCAACACTGAATTGTTCATGAAAAACAAAGGAGCTGCCCCAGGTCCTGATTCTTCTGAAATCCCAGAAGGCCAGAGTCTTTACCTGGTATTTGAATGTTAAAGTATTATGTACTCTCTTTCTGTCATAGACATCGATGAATGTGCCTTAAGGACTCACACCTGTTGGAATGATTCTGCCTGCATTAACCTGGCTGGTGGTTTTGACTGCCTTTGTCCTTCTGGACCATCTTGCTCTGGGGACTGTCCCCATGAAGGTGGCCTAAAGAGAAATGGTCAAGTGTGGACTCTGAAAGAAGACCGGTGTTCAGTGTGCTCCTGCAAGGTAAGGGCAGATATGGTACAGCTGAATGTAACCATTATGGTTTGTTTTTTTCTCTATTGCTAAATGCCCTGGGCAGCTAGGTGGCAGAGTGAATAGAACACCAGGCCTGGAGTCAGGAAGACTTAAGTTCAAATCCAGTCTCAGACACTTACTGGCTTTGTGACCCTGGGCAAGTCACTTAAACCCTGTTTGCCTCAGTTTCCTCATCTGTAAAATGAGCTGGAAAAGAAAATGGCAAACCACTTCAGTATCTGCCAACAAAACCCCAAATAGGGTCATGAACAATCAGACATGACTGAAAAAAAAAATGCCTGAAACAACAATAAATGCACTATGTTCTTGACCCAGTGGCTCTCCCAGAGTGATTCTAAAAATCTTGTCTCACTTTAGACTTCACTAAAGTTAATGATGGTGCTCAGTTGCAGAGGAACCTGCTTTGAATTTGTTGGTTTCCTAGTGAAAGCTGAAGTGTTTGGTTAGGAGAATGGTAAGCTCTAGGTGGAGAAAGCAAATGTTCTTCCTACTGCGTAACTTCAGGTTTAGTTAAGTGTGCTTGCATGGAAGCAATAATGAACTTCTATTCCATACTTCCACAGCCCGATTAAAACGACTTTTTGCTTTAAAAAAATTAACTTTAAAAAGCTAGTTTACCTTAGTAAGAAATATCATCCTGAAATCTAAAGCCCAGAATTGTGCTATTTGGAAACATATGGACTTCTATTTTGTACGAATGATTAATATTATTGTTTTAGGTAGCCTGGTAACTGAGTCTTATTTATTATTCTCAGTGCCTGGCTACTTCTTACACTAAATTCTTTGAAATTGAGTTTAATGCTTATAAAAATAAATAGTGTCATCATCTGGTTTTGCTTTATGTTTTGGAAAATGGGCCTAATTAAAGTGTTTTATTTCCCACCATTTATTTATTTTTTTTTAATCTTTCCTATTTATTTCCATTTGGTTTTACATTACTAGAGCTCTGATTTTGTGTATGTATGTGTGCATATATACATGTATATATGTGCGGGCACATATGTATATATATGTATATGTATACACACACACACATTGGGTTCTTCTGCTTTATAGGCATAAAAGGATTTAGCATGAGATGGAAAAAAAGCCATTTGCTTCAAAAAAGTGTTGCAGACTTCTGAATGTTCTTCTAGAATGCAGACTTCTATTCTCCTCCAAAAGAGAGCTTGGTAGAGGCAATCAAAAGAGACCAAGATATCAACAAACTTCCCTAGTCATTTTCATTCAGGCCACACCTAATCCTATCCAGAGAGATAAGAATCCCTCCAGTTCTTGAAGATTTTATACCATCAGTGTCTTAACAATTTCAGGGAGAATCTGGAGATACTTAGCCAGGAGAAGACTCCTGGAGGAGTTATGTTAGCTATCTTCCTGTTTTGCCACCAAGGGCAGAACCAAAAAGAGTTAATGAAAGTAGCAAAGAGACAAATTCAGGCTTAATTTCAGGACCAACTTTGTAACAATTAGAGCCCAAAAGTCAAATGGATTTCTTCAGGGGTAGTAGATTCCCCATGACTGAAGGCCTTCAACCAAAAGCTAAATTACTAAGCTCTAGAAAAGGTATGAGACAAGAACTTTGCTCTCAAGAAGCATAAAATTAAGGAGAACAGACCAATGTATAAAATCACAGTAACTAAGTGATACAGTGTTTAGTAAATACTTATAAATGAGCATTAGTAAAATTACAGTAACTAAATGATATAAGATTGAGTGTCAATAAAAGGAGTTCCAAGAACATTTGCCAGCCATTTCCAAACCACAGTGCCTGAACCGGCCCAGGCTCTTCATTCCCTCCCATCACAAGTTAGTCTCTTGTTCCAGGCTCTCTGGACCATGATAAAAGGGCTTTCACTTTGTCTTTCTCAGAAGTACTCCCAGACTATTTCCAAACTCACCCTTCTTTTCACAGCTCCCCTTTATATTCTGTTTGGTTGATTTCTATTTGTATCCCAAGTCTGCAGGAAAGTACCCAGAAGTGATGAAACACATGATTCTTTTTTTTACTTATTTGTTCAAAAAGTGAGAGATCAGTGTGACTAAGAAGCAACACAGTATAAAGGAAAAAGTTGTTGAATCAAATGTCCTAGGTTCAAATCCCCGGTCTGCTACTGATTAATTATGTGACTGTGAGTAAATGATTACATCTATCTAGATCTAGGTCTCTCAACCTGAAATTGATGGACCCAGGTCACGGATAGCTTTCAGAAAGTGTAAAAACTTCTTTATTTATATATCTTTATTTCATTATAATTGATTTCCTTTATAATATTATGTATTTTGTTTGACACATGTAAAAACATTATTCTGAAAAGGAGTGTACAGGCTTCACCACACTGGCAAAGAGGGTGGGGGGGGGGGAGAATCATGATTAGAAAAATGTAAGAAAACCTGCTGTAAATCTAGTCTACTCATACGTAAAAAGAAGGTGCTAGAAGAGAATATGGAGCTGTCTCCTTTTAAATATTTGTTCCTTTGACCTACTCAGGGTAGATTCAGAGAAAGTAGCATCTGAGTTAGCCTCAAAGTTAAAAGCACAATTAGATCACAAAACAACCAAGAAAAAATGCCTATTCTTTTTTTATCATCACACTCCTAAAAGATCCTGGTTAGTAACATTTTTAGCAATATTCATTGCTGAACCCAGAGACCTCCCCAGATTGTCCAGATATTTCTAAGTTATAGAGGTCAGAAATGAAGAGTTTGCCCTAGTAAATATCTGACTGCTGTTAATAATATTTTCCTTTCTGGATTTTATTATCATTTGAGCCAATGAAAAGAGCAGGGAACTTCTCAATCATTAAAAATTCCCTGAGCTTTATTAATTAACTACATTAATTACCCAAGTAGCCTGAGTTGATATATTCAGCTATCATTTGTAGAGTGTCCCCACTGTCTTAAGAAAATTACTTTAAGGATGCCTGAGGAGATGAGTATTGCTTGAAATCTTATTTTGTTGATATGCCATCTTCCTCGTTAATACAAGAGGCAAACGGAATTGTAATAAATAAATCCATCCTATAGATGCAGCTTATTACCCAGTTTATACTATAGCTTTCAAATGGTGGTGGATGACTTAGTTTAGGCACAGAAGAAGTCTTGGGTCCAATTCTTTAGGTCATCCTCCCAGCATAGAAGTATTTTTTTTTATTTCCCCACTTATCCCTTTCATAACGTGCAATTGGAAATTATGTTTTCAGTTATGGATAAAAATTTCTTTGGGGTCACTTAGGGCATTTAAGCAGGCAATTACAAACCCATCAATTCTGAAAAGGAGACATGCCAGGAGAGGTGACAGATAGAAATGTTTTCTTTGGAATCATGTTAGACTAAGATGCTCTTATTATTCAAAGTTTGGGAACATAATTTAGCTTGGCAATAACATTTGTTATATGAGTTATCACAGGGTTAAGGCCAAGTATTAATATATGGAAATCAAAAATTACTTTTCACTTCCAGAAAAGGTACTTTGCTGCTTTCATTTCCTACATAGAATGGTAGGCACCAATGCCATGATTCAGTTGCAAGAGGGGACTCATGACACAATTACAGCCAGACATTGGCTGGCACTTGAGTTGGAAAGCTAGATAATATGTGGACAACATGTATTTGTTCATTAAGGATGGTTCAGATTGCCTTCAGAACATAGAAGAATGGGAAAATAAAACATTTATTGAACACTTGCTATACAACAAGCACTGTGAAGTCCTGGATACACAAATACAAAAGTGAAAAAATCCCTGCTTTAAATGAGTTTACACATCAATGGACAAAATAAAATTAATTATAAGAGAATAATGACCTGCTGGGAAAGTAATTGCTCCAGGAGAGTTCACTGATGTGCCTCTTCTGGAAGCCATGGTAGTATTGAACAGATTAATGCACACAATGCAAAAAGTAGAAAGTGAAGAAAATGTTATCTATGTGGTGGCAGGGTTAATGGCTAGGGTGGATAATTCAATGGAACTGGAATTATGTTCTGGGGTTGGCTAGATATAATTGGCTAGGTGAAAGTGTCCTCACTCACCAATCTAGACACTTGAGCTCTAGAGCAAGAGTTCCAAAGCTGAAGGCATTAAATTCCCAAGGAACTGGGGATGTTGTTTCTGGAAGTTGTCAGATTTATGGGAACATAGGCATTTTTAGACTAGATTGGACCTAGTGGTCTTTGAGACTAACATTCTAGAAATGACAGAAACTCATAGGGAAGAACTTAGTTTTCTTCCTTGACACCAAGGTCAATGATTTGGTGCAGTCTTGCTTATCAAGAAACCACCTGTGGCTCTCTGATTCACATATTTGTCCAAACTTCTTAAAAATCCATTTTTATTATTTACCCATGCCTGAGAAACAGCACAGTGTGGCAGCTATAACTCTGGCCTTAGAATGAGGCAAGCCAAAATTCAAGTCCTGCCTCTGATGCAGTACCACCATGTCTAAGTCACTTAACCTTTTACTGTCCCAGGCAACTGTAGAAGTCTTTAAGTTGCAGACAAGTTGATGATCTGCATTAGTAGAGGGAGTTTTCATACTGGGTTACACCAATGAAATCAAGGATTTATAAAGAAAAGCAGAATCTGGAAGGAAGGTTTATCAATACATTTTTTGCTCACTACGTGAAGTTCACTTCATCCTGAGACAAAGGAATCCAGTGAAGTAGGGTTCTGGAAGACTCAACCCTTGACTGAGGGCAAGGAGTCTTTTACAGAGTTGTAGAATTGTGAGCATATGAGAGACCTCCTTGTCCAAACCCTTCCTTAACTGGTGTTGCAACCCTGTTCTCCACTGCAGAATCTCTGATTTCTCATTCCCATTTTAATTTCTTTCTCTTTATTCCCTCTCTCTAGCCTCCTCTGTTTCAGTACAAATCTGTGCCTTTATTCAAGAGTTCCAAGACAGATGGCAGTTGTAGTTGATAATTTAAGAAGGGCAATTAAAGATATTCTTCTACTTCAGTAAAGAATTCA